AGCATTTGTATCATACGAATTGCAAATCATGTTATTTATCTTTGGACATAACTGTATTTTTTCATAACTTAATTTCTTATTATATTTATGACTATGGATGTTTATGTCATTTCAAGTTCTATTAGCGAGCGAAATGAAATACGCAATTGTTAAATATTGCACCGGATGCTGACAACGTGCTTTCACGATTAGCAGAGCTAGACGGTTCTGATATATTTGCAAGTATATCATCAGGAATATCTAAATCTAAATCAAATAAAGACTGAAAATCACTATCATCATTGCAATCCAAAGTATTTTCTTTGACACTTTGATTTAATRCAGGTGGGCCAACTGCCGCACTTGCCTTACATTCTTGCTCTCTACTTACTTTCTCGTAAGTTAGCAATGCATTTGAACGATGCCCTGTTCTCTCACGGATAACTTTCTCCTMTGTTGAGTTCTGGAAAAGCCTACTTGCACACGTAATCCTTAGACAATGAGAAGTTTTTCTTTTCAAACCAGCTTCTGTACACAAATCTGGCAAAATTTGGTTWAGAGTATTGATGCCAATTGGAGAACGACAAAAATCGAATTGATCTAATTTGTGGCTAGGCCTGAAATAGAAGGCATTGAACTCATCGCTTAGATGTTTGACTTTTTCTAGGTATAATGAATAACATTTAACAATACAAGGAGAGTGATTTACAGGTTTTCCATAACAACAAATATGTTTGACACGTCTTGGTTTGTATTTCAGATCTTTAAGTCCGCCATGAAATGTCTTTGAGACACTCTCGTCGTAAACTACACTATCACTTTCGATTCTGAAATTCTCGAGTATTTCAAGTTTCGATGTTCTTTTGCGCGTAAGCCAAATAGTTTTCCATTATAAAAATAAATGGTTCGCATAAGTGACTTAGCTGTACTACATCCTAGCAAGCCCTTCGTCCACATTGTCTTTTCGTCTTCTTCGGTTATTTCTTCACGGTCTTTCCACTTGGCTTCATTACACACTCCATCTTGAGCAGCCTCTCTCATTTCAGCGTCCAACGCTCTCCTGAAGACATTAAGCCTATAAATCAAAAAGAAAACGAATTTTAGGATTAATTCAGTACAAAATAAGTTCTAATATTTTGAAAATAATATACACACCTTCCTTCGTTCGAACCAAGAAGAGAAATTTCACTTCCACTCTCTTTCAAATGCCTCTGAAGCCCAGTTATTTGATCAGATACAACGATCGTGATGGATAATGTTTGCCATCAGCTTTGCATACTTCTTGAACAAATTTTGTTAGCCAAAGATTAAGCGTTTCTATCGTCATATTACATATATTGGTATCTAAAGACTGGATTTTGTTCACATCGACAGGAAAGCAACAATTTTCATTTGCTGGATCTTTGTTTGAACGCGCTGTTTGCCACGCGGCAAAAATTTTAAAAGCCCACTTGGTAGCATACTGTGTAGACTTTGGAACACAATCATCAAATGCATTTTTTTCTTCGATGGATGTTTTTGGTCGTCGAAATTCCCGCTTTCGTGACATGTTCGTCGAGTTTGCCAAAGTAGTGAATTGCTTTCTGTGCGGCGACTGATTGCAGACTGAAGTACTGAATCAGAAATCATGATTACCGTTTCATTATTGTAATTGCTCAATAAAGTAAATTCCCAAGTGAAAACAACGCATCTCTTTTTCTTTCAAAGACATTTTTTTCTATCCATATTCAACAAATGGCTATTGAACATTAATGAGGTTTTTTAATTGTAATTACTTAATAAAGTAAATTCCCAAGTGCAAACAATGCATCTCTTTTTATTTCAAAGATA